AATCCATGGCGGCAAACGGAAATTTGATTTGAACTTGTCCTCTTAATTTTTCCACATTTCTTCTTCGAAACGTATTTTAAAGGCCTAAAACGAATATATTAAGAAAGTTGGGACTGCGTCCTATTATAATACCTACACCTACTTTTGCTCGGTAACAGGCAGTAATTTCAAATAAAGTTAGTTTTTCTTCTGCTCATGGTAGTTCTGCAGGTTCAAACAGGCTGTTACAGTTCTAGATGACCGTTACTCCCAAATGAAATTAATCGGTCAACGACGGACCAAAGCTAACCTAAAGTTAAAAATATATGAGTGGGTAAGTGAATTTGGGCGAAAATCAACCTAGAATACTTTGTTTCCGCAATTTTATTTAGTTCCCGCCCTACATTTGAATTTCAAACTTGTCCCGATTTCGCCGCCAATCCTCTAGCCAATAGTAGAGGTGATGATTGAAAAGAAGCTTCATTTTTTTGCTTTTAGCATTATGCTAAAAAGAGCAAAAAAGAGGGAGAAAAACAGCATTTTATTGCGGAAAACGCGGGAGATTTAAAAATGCGTGATGCGGACTGCGGAAATAGTGCGTGGACTTCTGAGACCTTTGACGACATTTTCATGCGATTGTTGCGTTCTGTCAAGACAGCGCCAGTGTTTTCGTAAACATACACGAAGGAAAAAACTTCGTGCGTGGGATCCGAAGTTGAGGTCATATGGATCTCTGAAAGAGCCGTATGCAAAAACGACATTTTTCGCCCCCCCACTAAAACTTATTCAAACTTCGTCTATCAGTTACGAATACTGGAGCGCTTCTTTCCCCAAATTTTCAGACCCCCAAAAAATTTTGGGGGGGGCGCTAGGGGGGGGGCGGAAGTCAAAACCTGTGACCCTCGATATCTTTCGAACGAAACAAGATATTGAGGCCCGGTTTGGATGAAAAATCGTCTAAAATTGCATATTTTAAGATTCTAAAGGTCAAAATCCCAAAATTAAATTTTTAACTTAACTTATGTGCTTTTTTTCAGTTTTTGAGGAAAAACAATTTCTTTTAAACAGATTAAACTGAAATTTTACATTTTTTGATTTGAACCAAAACCAGTTTTTTAAATTGTTCGTCTTTTTCCGCATCCAACGAGTGGTCGTATAAGCTGGGGAACCAAACGGTTCCGGAGTTATGATCAATTGAAGTTTCCGCTCAACGCGCGCCGACCGATTTTCGCGCGCAAAAAAGTCGGATTTGACTGTAATTAAATCAGATTTAATGTTCAAACTGAGCAAAATGCATTATAAGGGACTCTTGAGGGTCGCTGAGTCCAGAAATTACAGAACGTTTTTAAAATTACAGCTCCGTACAGGACCACTGAGCGGCCGGTCGGCGCTCAGTGGGCCTCTAAAATAGCGCTGCGGAGCTGTAATTTTAAAAACGTGAATTTTTTGGAAGTATCTGTAATTTCTGGACTCAGCGACCCTCAAGAGTCCCTTATAATGCATTTTGCTCAGTTTGAACATTACGCAACAGTTTGGCGCGCGTTGAGCGGAAACTTCAATTGATCATAACTCCGGAACCGTTCGGTTCCCCAGCTTATACGACCACTCGTTGGATGCGGAAAAAGACGAACAATTTAAAAAATTGGTTTTGGTTCAAATCAAAAAATGTAAAATTTCAGTTTAATCTGTTTAAAAGAAATTGTTTTTCCTCAAAAACTGAAAAAAGCACATAAGTTAAGTTAAAAATTTAATTTTGGGATTTTGACCTTTAGAATCTTAAAATGATTAATTTTAGACGATTTTTCGTCCAAACCGGGCCTCAATATCTTGTTTCGTTCGAAAGATATCGAGGGTCACAGGTTTTGACTTCCGCCCCCCCCCTAGCGCCCCCCCAAAATTTTTTGGGGGTCTGAAAATTTGGGGAAAGAAGCGCTCCAGTATTAGTAACTGATAGACGAAGTTTGAATAAGTTTTAGTGGGGGGGCGAAAAATGTCGTTTTTGCATATGGCTCTTTTCGGATCACGTATCTAAAAACTTGAGGCCCAGCTGCCGAAGTTCGGGTCACACATCTGAAGTACTTCGATATGTACCGAAGGGGTTCTTGTTCGGATCACACATCTGAAGTACTCTGCCGTGCTAAGGAAGAACGCCGTATGAACATTCGAGAGTTGCCAAATTTACTTCGATAAAATGTTTATTTTTGAGAAAAGTTATGAATATTTTTCCTTCAAATTTTCAAAATCTTTAGGTGAAACTGTGAACAAAATCATCTGAAAAATTGGGAAGAAAATATTTATAAGTTTACAAGAAAATTAGCGTTTTATAAAAGAAAATTTGGCAACGCCTGAAGGTTCATACGGCGTTTTTCCTTAGCACGGAAGTGCTCCGGTACGTACCGAAGTGCCTCGATGTCTGACCCGAATTTCGGCAGCTGGACCTCAACTTTTCGGATGCGTGATCAGAAAACTTCAGAGATCCATATGACCTCAACCTCGGGTCCCATGCACGAAGTTTTTTTCTCCGTGTAGTTCTGTATGATTATCCATAAGCTTTACATGAATAGTGAGAGGCATCTAAATGCAAATCAATTTACAGAGGCGAATAGTCGTGACGAAATTGAAATTGAAAGTGCGTTAGAAATTTTTAAATTAACGACACGTTTCTGTTTTGTGCACGTTAGTTTGCATAACTTCGCCAAGCCAAATCCAAAGACCTCCGGAGAGGCATAATAGGCAATTTTCCACTATGAACAAGCTCCTCTGCAATCAGATTTTACCGTAAATCGCCTCTTATAAACAATGAACCACTAGACAAGGTACGAATTTAAGCAATCTGATACATGTTTCTTCACCAAAATTTCACGTAAAATACGATACGCACAACGAAAATTACCGAAATCAACTCCGGCCGAAGATATTTGATGATTCTTGGTGCGTGAATTGAAACCACCCGCTCATGAAACCTCAATGCTCTACTTGATTCACATCGCACGCTAAACGTTATCATGAACGTCTCTGCGATAAAAAATCTGGCAACCTCAATCTTGACGCTTTGGCTCAGCTATAGCAAATTACTTATAGTTTGAAAAACACATGGTGGGAAATGAACATTGCTCGATTGAAAATAAGCTTGCTGAAATCGCCGTAGTGCGCGATTTGACACGCGCAGAGCTTTGAGTTTCTTGTGAGCGGGCAGTTCAAATTCCTTATAACCAATGTGAAATAAAAATTTTAATAACTCCGTTAGGAGTTGGTTTCAGTAATTTCCGTTGCGCGAATCATGTTCTACGTGAAATTCTGATTAAGAACCCTGTATCAGAATGCTTAAATTCGTACCTTGTCTAGTGGTCCATTCTGCCGCCGGTGTCGTGATGGTGCCAACGGTTCCGGCCTTTTCTTACCATAATTCAAATTAAGGAGTGGATTAGTTGTTAAGCCGATAAAAAAAACGTAAAACTAGGACACACACCCTTTAAGTCCCGAACCAGTGACGTATCTCTCACTAAATGATCCCCATTCCTCGTAAGCTTCACGGCTTAGCTTTGGAAGGCGCCGTCATATTCGTTACAGCGGCAGTTTTTGAAGAAACCCGTTTTTTTTTCAACTGAAACATGTCTCCGCGCGAAAAGCAGTAATCAAAACCGCTCGCCCTCTTGACAGTTGCGCAAGGTTGCCAACTCGGGCAATTAAAAACGGATCTTTGCGATAAGCTCTCTGACCCCTCAAATTTTCATTTTTCGTGACACAGTTGGACGTATTTCTATCAAACGGAACTATGTGCATTATGACGTGAGCCCTGTTATGCAAACATTCTTATGGGTGTCAGGGCTTATGTCTTAATGCATATAGTTCCATTTGGCAGAAATACGTTCAGTTGGTTCTACCGTTCTATCGAACCGATTTTCATAATTTTTGCGGCTATCGATAGGTGTTTTTCTCCAAACGAGCCCGCTCTATGTAGATTTTGAAAATAATACCTAGTTTTTTTGGTTTTTTTTTCTTAAAAATCAGTGAGATTTTTTCTTTAAATTAAGTATTTAAAAATAACATAATAAATGGAAATTTCTTCAGTAAGTGGACTGCATTTACAAAAACGCATCGAGTCGCACTTTTTCAAGAAATTGAATTGAGAGTAGTTTTCAGCTCAACTAACTCCATGCCAAAAAATACATTATTTGAAAGTTCAGCGCACATTTTCTGTCAAAATATAAAAATGCATGAGGACTGGATTTGCCGAAAAATATTTGCCAGATTCCACAATCTTAGTGATGTGTTGCTTAGCAAAAGAGCTTTGTTTGCGTACTAATGGCTAAGTCGAAAACCACGTACCTTGCTCACGGTGTTTCAAGATTTCCGCATCTAATTTAAGATTTCGAAGGGAAATGAGCCAATTTTATCGCTTTAAATTTTCACAGAATATTCTTCGAGCAGAAGTGAAATCACAGTCGTTTTCAAAAAATTTAGTACATTGATTAGTTTTCCAAAAAAAAAAAAAAAAAAAAAAAAAAAAAAAAAAAAAGTTTGACGAGAAGTATACGACGTCGCAAATTGAGATACATGTTTCCCGAGTTTAGCCGTCAATATAGATACTGCCTCCATTAATACCCAATTATGTACATCCAGCTATTCCTCATAATTTACAAATCTGAGAGTTATGTTAAAAATTTTGAAATCGATGCAGCTCAAACACAAAATGGTGTATTCAAATGGAAGAACATTTTTGCCTATACATATGCGTACAGGGCCCGCGAAGCGGGCCTGATAGCGCGAAGCGCCCTTATGGGGGTTGGGCCGCGTAGCAGTCAGGGGGCAGGGCCCCCTAGTTTAAAAATAATCATGGTTTGTGTAAAAACTTGAAAATTGCCGCTGAATTAATTAGAGGGAGGGGAGGGGGGTGGATGAACGCATACGTCATGAAGTAAAATCAGAACGAAAAAATTGTGTGGTAAAATGGAAAAAGTTTAACTGCCTGATCAGGGATTAGAGAATTGGCTTTCCAAATAAGAGGAACTGTTTCATACCTTGGATTTCTGGAAATCACCGTGCGAAATGAGGAGAGTAACAGTAACTTCAACACACCTGAAACATACAAATAAATCGGTTTATAGTGATATGAGTTTGCATTTTACACACATTTTTGGACAATTTGATTTTATTTACTCGCACACTGTGCAAATTCCGCAAACTGCGTGTTTTCGAACTATATGATTGGACTCTGTGTCTGTAGCTGTAATTCTAACCCCCGGGTGTGAGCGTTGCGCGTTGTAGTGAGAAACGCCTTCAAATTTTTCAACGCAATACGCACATTCACCGAGTAGGAATAGTTGCATTCAGGCGCCGTGCTCACGATGGCACAAGACGAGGTGATGAATGTGCTACATTTTTTAATCAGGAACTGCCATCTTTGACTCATTCACCTGAGTGTCGACCTATATACTCACTCTGAGTACTAAACTAGAGACCTATATACTCGACTTGTAAACTCATGACAAAATTTCTTGACAAGTCTCAAGAGACTACTGGAGATATTCTTCAGTTAAGCCCGATTTAGGTGAACTCAAGGGGGCCCGCGTAGCGGCCAGGAGGCGTAAACTCCACGTATTCTATATATTCAAACATGTTGGTAGCGGTATTTAAAACTTTTTATAAAATGAGACTCACCTTTATATCGTGCATTACATTTATTTTAGTTAAATTTGTACATACGCTCGAGGCCGTCCGGGATTCCCCCATCTTCAAGAGCACTACTAAAATGGAGATGTTTCATGTGTGAGGAATTTGCGATTTGACTGTTGATTCTAATGTAATTGTTCGCGAGAAACGCGATGGCGCTATTGACTTTCTCTGAAATCAACTCCCAAGCTCAAAAAAAAAGCTCTCGAGTTGAGGCCAAAATAGAGGGGATATCCCACGCTATCCTGAGAGTCCACATCTACATCAAGACAAACTCTCCATGCGAAGATAGGGAGCAAATACATTAGCAGTGATGCCGTGTTTTCAGTTTTGGAGTCCCCAAATAAAGTGGCAGCCCTGTCAATGTATTATTTGCTCCCTATCTTTGCATGGAGAGTTTGTCTTGATGTAGAGGTGGACTCTTAGGATAGCGTGGGATGTCTCCTCCATTTTGGCGTCAACTTAAGAGCTTTTTTGAGCTTGGGAGTTGATTTCAGAGAAAACCAGTGGCACCATACCATCGTATTTCTCGCGAACTTTGAGATCACAGAATCAACAGTCAAATCGCAAATTCCTCACACATGCAACATCTCCATTGAACTAAAATAAATGGAATACACGGTAAAAAGGTGACTCTTATTTTATANGAGTGGGGAACGGTCAGACGTAGGGGAAAGGTTCAGGCTGAACCGTTCAGCACAGCGCAGCGTCAGTCACCGGGTGGGGAAGAGAGTCCGGGAGGGGACACTTCCCCTCGAGTGAAATAGAAAAAGGCAGAATCCTTCGAAGTTTATATTAATGAAAAAAATATGCTATATGGATTGCATTTTGCAAAAAGGAACCAGAAGCATTGCAATGATGCTAAGATTGCGCAAATTCATTCCTTGCAGTAAAATAACGGAAATCATGAAAAAATATTAAATTTACATTGTCTTTTTTGTCTTAGATTCACAGTTTTCAGCGAGTAAAATAGAAACTACAATTGGATAATCAGGTTTGTTATCCAAGACTAAAGAAGTTGCACAATCTTAGAAACATTGCAATGCTCGTGGCTCCTTATTGCAAAATGCAATACATATGGGTTTCATATAACAGCTCTATCTGGCAACAAGGCGGGGCGCGTTCACGCACTCCGCATTAAAAGCGACGTCGTTTCCGAGCCGCGTCTTGTCGCTTGGGCGGAAAAGCGCCCGGCTCGCCAAGGCGGAGATTAAAGTCTTGTGTCTCCGCCTCTGTTCTCTGTTTCGCCTGCTTTTTTAATGACCGCAATCTATTTCCCTCGTATGCAAACAGGTCGCCATCCCGGCGCTCCCACCCCTCGATGACGTCACTTTCGCGCGGAGAAGCGGCAACGCCGCCGCGCAGATTATCTCCTTTTTTTCATCAACGGTGCAAATTGAATTTCCTCGCTTGCGAAACACTTGCTCCGCGCGGGGGAGGAAGCGCACGTTTGTGTTACGTGTGGCTGAGGTTGCGTCGTGCTCGCGCAGCAACGCAGAGCAACCGTCCGCTGTTCGACTGTCTATAACACTCGGATACGAATTGAGATCCTTCGCAAAGGCGCATCTCTACTTCCACACGAGCCCCAGAAAGTATGGAGTATGCCTAGAAAATGTCCCACGTGAAAATGGAGATGTTGCATGTGTGAGGAATTTGCGATTTGACTGTTGATTCTTATGTAAAAGTTCGCGAGAAACACGATGGTCCCACTGGTTTTCTCTGAAATCAACTCCCAAGCTCAAAAAAAGCTCTCAAAGTGAGGCCAAAAGGGAGGAGATATCCCACGCTATCCTGAGAGTCCACCTCTACATCAAGACAAAATCTCCATGCAAAGATAGGGAGCAAATACATTGACAGGGCTGCCACTTTATTTTAGGACTCTAAAACTGAAAAAACGACATCACTGCTAATGTATTTGCTCCCTATCTTCGCATGGAGAGTTTATCTTGATGTAGACGTGGACTCTCAGGGTAGGGTGGGATATCCCCTCCATTTTGGCCTCAACTTGAGAGCTTTTTTTGAGCTTGGGAGTTGACTTCAGAGAAAACCAGTGGCACCATCGTGTTTCTCGTAAACTTTTACAAAAGAATCTTTGGTCAAAACGCAAATTCCTCACACATGCAACATCTCCATTGAGATACGCTCTTACGTTGGAGAGGCGACGAAGCGTCTCCACAAAGTTGGAAACCCCTACTTCGAGGATTCTTATTTTCCTTACGGGCAACAACCAGAGGCAATTTCCAGGTTTTCCGGAAGTTGGACGCGAATATGTTCAGGGTCGATTTTACGGATCAAAATAAGACTTTTCTTTCATTCGAAGTTTTCCGAAAGCCTTGTCTCCACGGGACGTTTCATGGGATTTGTTCCGAGGAAGATCTCACCAGGGTATCTAGTTCTTTTCCATTTTGGAAAATCCTGATTTTTCCTGATTTCATAATTTTCCAAATCCTAATTTTATTCAATTCATACACATCAGCAACTTGAGATGTACGAAAAGCAACGATTTTCCTTCAATTTCGCGTGATACCACATACAACGGAGTTGAAATGCGCTTGAGGGAATCACCACAACCGCGTCAGCAACACGGACATCTATAGTAGGATAAAAATTCCCTGACTTTTAATCGAGATTCCCTGACATAGTCCGGTTTCACAGACTTATGGCCACCCGCATTCTTTACAAAATCTCTAAGAAAATGACTGTTTCCCGCGATACTGAGATGTGATAAAAATCGCGTAATCTCTTACTTTTCACAAAACCGCTGCTTAAATGATGAATGTCGGGCGGCGTTAAACTCCCATCATTAAATGCGGAAATCAAGCGCACAACTTTTCAAACTTCACTGGAAAAAACAAGACCAATCTACACAGGTCAGCCATTCCCGAGGACGGGTTTTGGTACTCTACTGCTGCGCAGTGACGTAGTATTGAGTGCCTGCAATGTATTTCTTATGGGAGCACCCATTGTGCACAGCACTGAGTGCCGCCGAGTTAGGGCCGGGCGGGGAGGTGGCTTTCAAAAAGATGCGCAATGACTGACCTGAGTGGATTGGTCTTGGAAAGNGGGGGGGGGGGGGACACACATTGGATCTAGAGCCCGGACTCTTAAAAACATCGTCAAGAAAAAATACTCTTGATTCAATCAGATTTAAGCTTAAATCAAGAACCAGACCTCTTAATTTGAGCGGATTTCCTTTCGATTTAAGCTTAAATCTGATTGAATCAAGAGTCCTTTTTCTTGTCAATGTTTTCAAGAGTATGGACTCTAGATCCAATGCCCCCCCCCCCCCCC